GAGGGCGAAGAATTCGTTCAAAGTGATCTCGAAGCCGATGTGCAACGGCTCCAACGTGGAGAGCAAGAAGTCGAGGGGTGGCAAGTTCTACGCCGACGTTCAACCGGCGAGCAAGAAGTCGGATTGGAGGGCGAAGGACGACATGAACGGGANAGTGCAACGAGAAGATTCTAAGGGACATCGTGTACGAAACCCCGAAAACCGAGTTGGGGGAGGAGGAAGTGGTTGAGAATCGGTCGTCGTTGATGAGCGAGAAGCGGAACGAGTCGGCGACCACGAAAATCGTTCACGGAGCGAATTCGTCCGGCAACGTGATGGCGTATTTGGCACGGGGCCGTCTCGAATCGATGGACGGCAGAGAGAATGAATCCGTTTCGAAATCGGGTGAAAGAGCGTGCGTTCACCACGCTAGATACACGACCAACGAGAGGAGTTTCGTATTGCACAATAACCGCGATCGGAATTCGGAATTTTTGATCCGCGAGAGGTTGGTACCCAGGGACAAGATGGCGAGAAGTTACGAGAAGAAGATGATTAGGCTGGAGCCCGCGCAGAATTTGAAACAGTTCAGGAGCGCCACGTGCCTGATGGAGGATGACTCGTTGGAAAATTGCGAGCACCGGGACGAGATCCAGGTCGGGCAGGGGAACGAGAGCAACACCTCGATGGTGAGCTCCTCCTCGGCCGAGAACATGATCCGGGAGTGGGTGAAAGCGCCCCTCCAGAGGATCCAAGACGGAAGATATAACAACAAAAGCTCGGACACCTCGAAACCGTCCGTGATCGACTCGAAGGAGGGGAGACGGTTCTGGACCAAGGAGAAGTCGGTTCACTGCGGGGATGGTTGGGCCGAGGAGAGGCGGAACCAATTGGAGAATAAAAACGCGGACGAGATAGAGAAGAGATCGTCTTCGAAGAACAAGTACTCGAACAGGCAGATTATATCGAGCATAGTGGGCGGCTTCAAATTGTGGAGCAGCAAAGAATCGATAAGCAACAAGACGAGCGAGAAAGGGGAGAGGCCGGAGGGTAGGAAGAGCGAGAAACGTTTCGGCAAACATTTGTTCGAATCGTTCAAAACTTTCAAATCGTTGAGATCGGTCAGATCGAAGAACAGCAGCGAGAACAAATCCTCGTCCGCCACCTGCTCGTTGTCGGATCGCGTAGGTAACGTGACGCGAAAAATCATATACAACGAGTCCTCGTTGAAAAACGTGATAGACAAGAATGGAAATTACGGGAACAAAATGGAGGACGTGTTGCTGTTGTACAGAAAGGTATTGGAGAGCACGGAGGAGATGGATTGGCGGAGTTTCCAGAGATTCGTGGAGAACTTGCACCCGAGCAAGAGGAATCTTTGGAGGGATATTTGCAAGATCATTGACGAGAAATTGGAGGTGACGAGGGGGGATGACAAGAGCGCGGAGATATGCATAGAGATCACGTCCACCCCTTTCGAGGAGGGGAAGAGGAAGGAGAGGAAGGAGGGGAGTTCGAACGAGATCGTGTTCGAGATGGACATAACACTCGGGGACATGGAGAGGTGTCTTGGTAGGCAACTGTCCTCCACCGAGGAAGAACAGCTTGACACCCTTAAGGAGCCCAGTCAAGTTATTCAAGTTCGAAACGGCGAGGTTTGTGATATTGAAGAGGACTCTAATCAAGCTGAATAAGCGGTCTTCGCGTCTGCTTTTCAATTTTTCGCCCGTATTATATAATTCTGATTATCGTCCTCTCCTCTTCATCCTTCCTTTCGTACTCCCTTATACTTCCTGTCTATATTCCATCATCCCTATATTCTTTCATTTTTCCAGCATCGTTGGTAGATAAACATCGCAAAATTATTTGTAAATAATTGTTATTGCAAAATTGAGAAATTTCGCTTTTTCTTATTATATATGTATATAATGTATAAAAATGAGATTGTACTTTTGGAGAATTTGAAATATAAAAAAAGTTATGCAATTTCTGTGTCTCACTTCGAGCGATTGCATTTCGAATCGTTCGGAAATTTTCAGTGTTCGATTTTACTTTATTCGTTCTAAAATATATAATTCAATAGCAAATGATGATTTAACCGGATTGGAAATAAGAGTTTAAACATAAAAGTTAACTTTTTCAAAATTAATGAGATAACACGTTAAAATTATGCATTTGTAAAATTAATCTCAGGTAAGTAATTTTTATTGTTATTGTCATTTACATGTCATCTACCATTTTTCTTCATCATTTATTAGTAATGTAAAACTTTAAGGATTTACATTTTTATAAATTCAAAAATATCAGATCCAGATTTCAACTATTAGATTTATTGGATTCGAATATTATTGCAAAGTTGCTTCCAAAGTTAAATCAGTTAATTAAAAGCGATTAAAAAGATGAATTAGATATATTCAAGAAAAGGAAAAGTGTAAAATTACAAATATCTCCAATTCCTTTCCCAATTTCATTCTTGGAAAGCTAGATGACACAAAAAATGGCAGAAATATTTACTCGACTCCATATTTCCTTCTCTTTCTTATTACGTTGACAAGAAAGATTGATCGCAGAACCTCGAAAACCTCTTCATGAATGGAAACTTATGGAAGATATTATTTATTATAATATAAATATATTATATTTTTTATAAAAAATAAGCTATTCACAAAAAAACGAGATTGATTTATCACTTAAAACAGAAAAGGTGGGTTAGCTTGAATAAGAGAAAGTACCTATAATTGTAAAAATCTATTAATATTAACTTAATTCCTATACATATACATATACAAAGAAAAGAATTATATACATTCTTCTCTTTCTTGCAATGTGAAGAAAAAATTTCATAGATAAATATAAATAGCAATACAACAAATTATAAATTATGAAAAAATCTACCAATCCCTCTCTCTTTTATCCCAATTTATCTTTCTTTCTAAATCCAAAACAGAAAAGATTAGCTACTTGAATAGAAAAATATATATAAAATTATTATAAAAATCTATCAATTCCTACATATATATATACAAAGGAAAGAATATATATATATTCTTCTCTTCCTTGTTGCAAGTGAAGAAGATTTCATAGATAGGCTAAATAAATGTAAATATCAATACGACAAATTATAAATTATAAAAGAATCTATCAATCCCTTTCTCACAAAACAATCAGGATAGATTATCCTATTTAAATAGAAAAAACTATACAAAACTGTTACAAAAATCTATCAATATTCTGTCAATCCCTCTTTCTCTCATATCTCTTTTATATCTTTTCAAATCGGTTAACTGTAGGCGGAAAAAGTTGGTTAACCCAAATAACTGCGCGTACAAAATTACTATGAAAAATCTACCAATTATCTCCTCCTCCCCCCTTTCCCTCTTCCTCTTCTTCGTTCCAAGTCACCTTCGCAAAAGCGGATCGGTGGATCGCGGAAGAGGCTCGACGGATGCAAGGTGTGCTGGGCGGGTAAGCGGTGGGTTGGCAGGGCGCGCGGAGAGGGAGGTAGGTCTCCCCCGGCAGAAAGTAGGGGTGGTCCAGCGAGCAGATTCCTGGGCTGATCGATGGAACGACCGGCGCATTGGATTTTCCAAGAGTAGCGCGCGCATTCCCATCCTTTCCCAACAGCGTTACATCCACATCCACCTTTGTGTCTCTCCTCAGTCACTCACGATCCTGGCGCGGTGGTGCATCCGCCTTTACCCGGTGAGCGGCGGCACAGGGCCTGGAAGCAACGAGAGCAACTGTGTCACTAGGCC